AGGAAGCGTTATTATGGATTATGGCCAAAATTTTTGTTAAAAACGTCTTAATGCTGGATTTGTTTCAGCTTTTGTCTTCTCCAGATGTTAACTGACTGACTGCAGTGCTGTGGATTATTGTGATGTTTTTATCAGCTGTTTGGACTCTCATTCTGACGGCACCCATTCACTGCAGAGCATCCATTGCTGAGACACTGATGCAGTGCTACATTTCTACAAACCTGATGAAGAAACAAACATCCTAATCTTGAATTAAATTTTTTGAGGGAACTACTCATGCATTATCATCAGTGAAATGTCTTGAATCTACACGATACCTTGTTGCGCATCTCTTGGACCTCTTTGGGGTTGGTGTTCAGAGGGACAAACTGATTGGCCACAGCAGCCTGTCGGAGACTGTCCTCCTTAGTCCACTGAAATTATCAAAGCAAAGCCATTCAAATCAACCAAAACTAAAGAAAACCTCAAATAAAAGCCCAAATTAAATATAAAAAAGGTGAAATCATGCCTCTCAAACACAAAGCAGATCTTAAACAAAATTGGTCAATTATAATGGTCCACTGAGCAACGAACCAATGATGATGCTGATGCAATGATTTTGCTTCGGGAAATTTTAAAACTCTTCGTGCATCACCATAACACACAAGAATTCTAAATTCTAAATTTCAAATTCATAAGTCATTTATTAGTAAATATTAAATTAAACTTAATATTATACCACTTGGAATCTGCATTTATTGACAATCACCACAAATTTGATTATACATAACTAACTCTATAACCTATATTTAACATCAGTGAAATGGCAGCCACGTTCCTCATCATCATTGATACTGCTGTTGGGCGTATAGTAAGGACAGAAAAGGCTAAAAGAAAAGAAAGAAAAGAGCACAGACAGAGAAAAACAGAGTATTTAAGAGGATGATAGACCACGAGGGAGGCAGGCGTGAGGCGGGGTGGAGAGGCAGAAGCTGTTCTTGTGTTTAGGCAGTGAGTGGACAGCCAGAAAATCCCTTCAGCTAGTGTAACAGGACCACACTCACACACACACACACTACTCACCCACACACACACACACACACACAGACACGCACTCACACACTGACACTCACACACTCTCTCACACACATATTAGTAAATATTAAATTAAACTTAATATTATACCACTTGGAATCTGCATTTATTGACAATCACCACAAATTTGATTATACATAACTAACTCTATAACCTATATTTAACATCAGTGAAATGGCAGCCACGTTCCTCATCATCATTGATACTGCTGTTGGGCGTATAGTAAGGACAGAAAAGGCTAAAAGAAAAGAAAGAAAAGAGCACAGACAGAGAAAAACAGAGTATTTAAGAGGATGATAGACCACGAGGGAGGCAGGCGTGAGGCGGGGTGGAGAGGCAGAAGCTGTTCTTGTGTTTAGGCAGTGAGTGGACAGCCAGAAAATCCCTTCAGCTAGTGTAACAGGACCACACTCACACACACACACACTACTCACCCACACACACTCACTCACACACACAGACACACACGCACTCACACACAGACACTCTCTCGCACTCGCATTCACACACTTGACACTCACACAGACACACACACACACACACACACTCACACACACACTCTCACACACACACTCTCTCACACACACACAGACACACACTCTCACACACAGACACTCTCACACACAGACACAGACACACACTCACACAGACACACACTCACACACACACATGTTGTGTTTCCATGTTTAATGGGGACATTCCATAGGCGTGGTCAAAATTTACTAGTATTACTATCCTTGTGGGGACATTTGGTCCCCATAATGTGATAAATACCAGGTACACACACACACACACACACAGACTCTGTAAGGAAGGACAGAATTACGTCCAACTTTTCTTAAAACATACAAGTAAGAGACAAATTTCAGTTTATGAAGTTTCAGCTTAAAGTTTGAGAGGTTTCCTCCAAAAGCTCTGAAACATGGAACTAATGGACTTTAAATTTCAAATAAAGATGTTTAGATGAACAGCAAGTACTAAATATTTCGAAGCAACGCTAGTTAGCGTTTGGCCTGGGTAAGAATAGCATGAGTAGCCAATGAGTTACTTGCTTTTACCAAAATGAAATAAATGCTTTCAGCACGGAACCAAAAGTCATGAGGAAGGGTTTCCGTATGAGCGCTGGAGAAACGGGGCACATGGGATGAACAGGTAAACATGAAATACTCACTGATCACGTTTAGAGCCCCACAACACAACACGCTCTCCCCCAACTAGAGACAATCGTTCGGAGAGTTAACAAGCACTCATGAACCAATGCTTTTCCTTCTTTTTTGGATGATTTTGACATTTGAAAGTTAAAATACACTCATGCTCGGGAAGAGTTCAGGAAAAGGGCAATCCAATTCAGGAGAAAGACAAGGAAACTCATTTTTAAAAAAAGAAAAGAAAAGGAGAAATTAACACCAACACAAATGTTTTTAAGCAGTTTAAGGAAAGAACATGGGAGTCATCAAACGGCAAGCCACGACTCCATAAATATAAGCAGCCGAGCTTTTTCTCCCACAAAAAAAAACTGCTATCTCTCTGATATTTCCTTTTTTTTTTAAATCTGATTTTGTTATTCTCTTGGCAGCATTTTAATTTAAGGCACTACATCTGGGCAAAATACAAAAGGTTTATAGTGATCATCTTCAATAAATAAATAAAAAATGTACAACATTTAAATCTGGCCTCATGTCATTAAAAATCTTTACGTGCTAATCGAATAAAATAATTAGTCCTGTAGGAGTTGAAACCATCACAATCCACTAAAATATAAAGTTTATTCTACTACATTGATCAATATGCTTTCAAAATCAAAAGAACGTTTTGCATAAAGAAAATGAAGCCAGTTTTCTGAAGCATTTGTTTAATTACGACAATTTCATGGCAATTAAGCAGCACATTTCCATAGTTGCCAGTAGCAGAAATGCAACAAAACGGGGCTTAAATGTCACAAAAATAACGTCACACTGCAAATATTGATGCATCTTAAAGGTCCTAAAAATCGGTTTTATTTTCTCCATGCAAAATATAATATGATACTATGATTTTCAAATGAAATATGAGTATTTTTTGTCAGATTCATTCTAAAGCTTTCCGATGCTTCTGAAGACATTGAGACTTTTAGCTTAAGAGCACTAAACAGCATAAATGTTTGTACTGTAAGTCTTCTACAGTATTGAAATATTTCAGCTGTCTTAACCACTGTGTCTAAGTGCACAGTAAGTACATTAGCCACACAAATGGCTCTCTTCAAGTTACTTATTTTAAAATGCTCTGAAGAGACTGTTCAAATGGAGTTAACGGCTCCGGTTACAAAAGGTGCGAAATAAAGCAATAACTGAAACAAACAACAACAGAAACGGGAGGAAAATCCATAGCAGCAGCAGAAGGGATTAGCCACACCCACTTTTCACACATGCCACGCCCTCCCGGTCCTCCAGGAGAAGATCCACAATGCATCTGATCAATCATGCAACACCGCATGCACAGAGCAGCTGGAAAGAACCCCGACACCCGTCTTATTTGGTCAATTTTGAGATTTTGGCTATTCACAACTGGTCCAAAATACACATTTAAGTGTTCATTTTATAGCACTTTATCTATTTGCGTCTGTAGATTTCAATTTCAGTGTGTTTTTTCTCCAGTCCAGTAGCACTTACATACACCAAACTTTACAGTTTTATGTAAAGTTTTGTGACCCTGGACCACAAAACCAGTCATAAGGGTCAATTTTTTGAAATTGAGATTTATACATCATCTGAAAGATGAATAAATAGCTTTGCATTGATGTATGGTTTGTTAGGATAGGATAATATTTGGCTGAGATACAACTATTTGAAAATCTGGAATCTGAGGGAGCAAAAAAATCTAAATATTGAGAAAATCATCTTTAAAGTTGTTCAAATGAAGTTCTTAGCAATGCATATTACTAATCAAAAATTAAGTTTTGATATATTTACGGTAGGA